AATGAGAGCTTGTGTGACGAGATGTTGTGGATGTGCTTGTCGACATCATGATCCTTGTTCAATAGCCTTATTATCTTGTTGGTATGATTGGCCATTACACTCTCGATGTGTTTCTTCCGTAGGTTTGCCATAGTTCTTACGATGTACATGTATTGGAGCGGCGAGCAGTTGAGACGTATTTCGTCATAAATCGCGTTGATCTCATCTTTCAAGGTTTCCTTCTGCTTGAGCTTTGATCCGAGTTCCTCTCTGATGACATTCGCACTGAACTGTTCGGATGCGTTAGACCACTTTTTTGACTTTGTCTGGTCGACTTTGGCAAAGGTCGGTGTCAGTTTGAAATTCTGACAAAGATGAAGAAACTCGATAGTTCCATCACATTTAACTTGTTTCTTGCTACAATCTTCAAGTCGTCTGAATAAATGCAGCTTGTCTTCGCGTTTCAATATTCGAATGACATTAGATTTTGTTAGACATTTAAGAATAAATATTAGCGAGAAACTTTTAAAAAAATTTTTTAACTTTTTACGTTTGTCACCTTCGTACCGAATAAATTAACTATTCATTTTTATTCTCTTCTCACTTGAGAATGATGACATGGAGTCATCGAAACGTTGTGTGTTTTTCTCGCTAATATTTATTCTTAAATGTCTAACAAACTGTAATGTCATGCTTATGTTTGTCTTACCATGCTTAAGTTTATAAGTTCTAAAGACTTGACCCCTAATTTGTTTTCCATAAACGAGTGATTGATTACGCGTTGATTGTTTAGTCTTATGTCACTGCTTTAGTTTTGATACATATATATATATATATATATATATATATATATTTATATATATATGGGCCCCTTTATGTGGCCAAAATGTAATGCCTCAATTTCGGGATAACCTTCCGGATCTTCGTAAACGCAGTTCGACTGATAGGTAAAAATTGCCAGGTTCCGTAATGTATTGAGTAATTTTATACTATGACGAAGATTCACAACTGTTTTGTCGTTTAAAGTTAGGCCTTCACTTTCTTCTCGCAAGTACGATTTAATTCCCATATCACAAAGGCCAAGAATGACATTTAAAAGGACCGCTTTGACCCACATTTTGTATATTATCGCATTTTTTGGGAGAAAGCCGACATCGATCAAAAACCTAAAATGTTCAAAACTGTTAGCATCTAACCGCTAACCGAGGCTTGAGGTTGGGGTTAATTCACCAAATGACTCGTTAAACGTAAGGCCCAGGCAGTACTTTTGTACCAAGTATTTATCTTAGAACAAACTATTGCTCCAGTAATCACAACGTTCACAAACTGATGTTCGTAAAATTGATTCAACTTCTTTAACCATGAACACTTTGCTAAACGAACACTGTGAGAACTAAAATAAAAGTACAAACAAATTACAAATGAGAAATAAAATAACGATTTACAATTAACGGTACAACGATTTCGTAAGTAACTTTCGCTTAGACTAAAATTTTTAAGTCTTAACTTACTTCAAGAAAACGATAATTCACAATCAAAGGAAAACGGATACAAATTGCCTAATTAAATAAACTAAAAAGGCATAAAATATTAACCTTATTGCTGCTATCACAAGAACAATGAACAGGTTTTAAGCACGGCAGCTAAAGCTTCGCTTTCAGTTGAAATATTTTGCGTTAACTGATATGAGAAGAAAAACAACTAAACCTCTATACAGCTTGCGGGCTGTCACGGCGCTTTCGCTTTAGTTCTAATGAAAGATAATAAATTCTTTAAACTAAAACGTAATGTTACGAGGCCGCGCGTGCAGCTAAATTGAAGGTCGCGCGCTGCTCTATTGCGTCAGTTACACAAACTTTTGAGGCTAGTTTTACTTCCTTAAAACATAAACTTACGCAATGGAATAATTTTCGACGGGACAGTTCGATTACTCTCTGATAAAATTTCTCCGTAAAGGACTCTTCCAGTACTTTTCTTTTGCGAGTCTAAAGGAAAACTGACATTGCCCCTGCAGAGCATTCTTTTCGAATGCCGCAGTCATGGGAGTGATAACGCATCCCCATCTCGCCGATCCACTGTAAAAATCGTGAATCATAAATCTTCAACGCATGGCGACTTTACTTCGCTCTTGATTCCAATTAACAACTATTCGCTGAAGTTGAGGTGGTTAGTGGCAGATATTTAACAAGCTACTAAGCAGCGGGGTAAATATCTACCAGTAGCCTCCGGCACTGGGGTGACCAATTGTTTTAGTATAAATCGAAACAATGAGATATAATAACACACTAAGATGAATCAAACCTATTTATTTCTGCAATGATTACAATATTTTTGGGCGCAAATCCCGCTCGAGTTGTTCGGAGGTGAATACAAAAGGATATTTGGAGTTTGAGTAGCCATTCAGAGTACACCTTCAACGCTATGAACTATCTTAGTACATACTGTATTGGTATTTTTTTTCTTTTTTCGAGCTCTGAAATAGAACCTGCATAGGCTAAAAAAGCTAGGCACGTAGCTCACTGATGTTGGATATGGATTATTTTGATAGGGGTGACTCCCTCAATTCCTTTATCATACGGGGAATATTCATTAAGATTAAAAAAACGAACAAACAAAGCACAATTATTATTTAGAAATAAAACAATCCATGTCCCAAACTCCCGAGAGGTGCTCAAGTAGTTGAAATATCTTGGTAAACTGGACAAAATGAAATAAATAGTTCTTTTTCCTAAAGGAAGCGCTATCGCTGTTCAAAAGAATTGTTAAGGTTCCTTCTTTTACACTTTCTTGGTGGAGTGTGTCTACAATTTGCATTTTACTGCACTAATACGTAGCCCATAGCTTTTATGTTTCTATTTCCATTATCAGGGTACCATTTAGCTTCGTTACCACATGTGCTGGAGTCATACGGAGGTCCACTTGCACCAAAGCCAATTCTGGAATCACAGCTTTCACAGTTGTACTCGTTATTGGACACGATACCGATTCTGACTCTACATTGTTTACATACTGAGTTAAAACCCTGCTTGTTCCACCGCAACTGTAAGGAGCCCTTTGAACCAAGGAGCGTTTTCCATGTGTAACGAGCCAGTGAGGTGGAGCGGTTAGACCCGTCAGCGATTAGTGAGAACAGAGAGCTGGCTTGTTTGTTGAGGACAACGAAATTAAGTTGCTCGCTGACCTTCATACCGAGACAGATTTGAGAGAAAGGCGTGTTCCAATAGGTCGACAGCTTGGTTTCTTGTGTGTCAAACCCAGTTGAACCTCCATCGAGCTTATATTCGTTTGTATTACTCCAGTAAGCGGAGTCGAAACGGAAGGTTTTCTGAATTGATGAAGGTAGGTCGTATCATAAAAACAGAGACAATCGGACAAATAAAAATTTAGAAAGAAGGAAAACAGACAACAAAGTCGTTTCTTATCTTAATCGTAAAATGCTCATCGTATTTCCATGACCATTACTTGACTGATTGAAATATACCGAACGCTCATCATTGCCAATTACCTTATTGCCATCAGTCTTCAGCACGGTTGTCCATGCCCCAGGCCCACATCCAAAATCTCCCACGTGACACATGACAGAAGTAGGTGTTGAACCAAATCTTAGGGTGGCCATTTGAGTTTTGTTAAACCTTGTGAACAATCAGAAAAAAAGACAACGCTTACCATACTACCATAATGCCACGTACCCAGAATAACCTACTATTGGTAGAGATGTTAAGTAGAACTATCAGGCATTCTCACAATCGAATTTAACCAAATAAGCACAAAGAAGAGACTTTTTCTTTCGAATAGGATTGGGATGCTATTCGCGTCTAGAGCAATAGGAAAACCCGTCTCCAGAACACTTGGAAGCAAACTCAGTTTTAATCGTAAAAGGAGAGAAAGAAACGAATGAAAATTTAACTATTTGTGACCTACTTTTTTGCTTCATAGAGCTGTTTGCACGACGTTGCACCTGCAAGTTAGGTTATTCGGGAAATTAGTACGAGAGACAACAACAACATCAAGTTCAAGAACAAAAATGACAGATGTTGCCACTTTAAAATGAGCAACAATGCCCAGCTCTAGCATGTAACTGTTATAGCTTCATTTTAAAACTGTATAGGTCCTTACCTGTTTCACATTAGTCTCCAATAAAGCCCTGTAGACAAAGACATTTAAAAGTATCGTCTTGATAGTTCGCCACACAGGTTCCCTCATTTTGACACGGTGCTGAAACACAATGTGACTGGCAACGAAAATAGTGTGAAAGGATCAAAAATGCATTTTTGTAATTTCAATATTTTTTTTATCATCTGTACACGGAACCTAAGAGAAGATAAAACAAAAACCACAACTAATTCAGACACCTTGCGGCAAAATAGTGGGCATAATCTTTTCTTGCAACTATTTCAAGAGCGATCGGCTACTTATTGCTTATCATGAAATACTGAACAAGCCATTCATTTCTTTTTTAAACAAAGCTCGTCTTGAATAGCATTTTGCTCTTTCCATTTGAATTCCAGTTACCTTTTTGAATAGATGACGAGACGTCATGTTTTTATTGAAGTCTTCGGAGTTTATGTATTTATCAGATGACAGTAATTCGCACCAGTATCTCCCATCAGCTTCTGCCATGAGCGCTAGGTTAACAGAAACGCACGAAGGAAGAAGAAGACATTGACTCGTACAGTCAAAGACGTCTGTTGCCAAAAACGTCCGGCTTGAAGGAACGCTCAGGTGATGAAGTTCGTTTTTCATGAAAGCATGGGATATATTTGTAACAACTATGAAATAAAGGGTAATCAGCGTCATTTACCTCTTAATTATAACGAAAGGGAATAGATATTGGGAAACTAGTAAGGATTATTATCTATTAGTAATAACTAAAGAGAAAAAATAGTAGCAAACTGATAGCAATTACAATGGATTCCTCTTCCCATCCTTCCAATCGTGCATCGTTCCCCACTATTGGTTGGTACGTTGATCCGTTGATCCGGTGTTCTGTTGATCCGTTGGTCCGTTGGTCCGTTTGTCCGTTTGGTTCGTTGATCCGTCGGTCCTTTGGTCCTTGGGTCCGTTTTTCCGTTGATCCGTTGATCCGTTGATCTGTTGATCCGTTGATCCGTTGATCCGTTGATCCGTTGATCCGTTGATCCGTTGATCCGTTGATCCGTTGATCCGTTGATCCGTTGATCCGTTGATC